ATGTTGAGGCATTTTAATTTTTTTTGTTTTTTTGTGCCATAGACACTGTCAGCACAATCTGCAGTTACACTAACAAAAAATGCTGCAAAAAACAAAAAATTATGGAAAAATTACACATGGACTGACATAGAGGAGGATCTACACAAGTTTTTTACATCATGTTTTACATCATGCATCATTTACATCATGTTTTTTTGTAGTGGCATAAATAAAAAGTGACATTTGTGAGACTATACAGTGTTTTGTAAATAATTTTACAAAGAACGCCTGGGCCATTGCCTGCATTTTGATGAAAATAGAGGTAAATCACTATGTTCTTTGTTAAAAATTTGCATATGTTTTGAAGTTTACAATTTTTATTTGAAGTTTAAGTTTTAAAAACAGTTCATCACACATATTTGTGGTTTTCACAGTAAAAATGTTACTTTTTTCCACTCGGATTTTATGTTTTGTGTGTGAATTTGGGTCCATTGTGTAAATTCAGTATGTCAACATGATAAAATAACTGTAAATTCGCACAGGTGAGGTTGTGCTGAAAAAAATGATACCAGGCAAGGCACGTGATTGTCAAATTTTGTGTCAATATGACAAAGCGTATAGGCGTGAATCTCAACAATATGTATTTTCACCTTAGGGGACAAGAAAAAATGGACTTTTTTCTCCTGCCATGGGGGGGCGCTCTTTTGGGGAGTAAAAATTCCTTCACAAATGTGTTGATGGCTGGACATTGCATCATCCTAGAAAACTTGGAGGCCAGTGAGGACAAAAATAAAAAGTTATAAGACTTTTAAATATGTGGATTTTAGGGTTATCTTTGGCGCCCCCTAGGACCTAAACCGTGGGGTGCAGCGTCATGATTTGAATAACTTTTAATGGCCACGGGGTGTAGATTGTCCTGAGCAAATGTGGTGCCGGTGGAACGAAAGCCTTAGGAGGAGTTAGCCACATTCCAATGTGTGCGGATCGGCAAAAAATGCGGAATAACCCTTTAACCGTACATTTGCCAGATACGCGCGCATTGACTTTTTCGTAGATCTTATTGAGTTACATGTGTGTGTCAATTTTTGTGTCATTTTGACAAAGCGTATAGGCGTGACACTCAACAATGTTTTTTTTCACCTTAGGGGACAAGAAAAAATGGACTTTTTTCTCCTGCCATGGGGGGGCGCTCTTTTGGGGAGTAAAAATTCCTTCACAAATGTGTTGATGGCTGGACATTGCATCATCCTAGAAAACTTGGAGGCCAGTGGGGACAAAAATAAAAAGTTATAAGACTTTTAAATATGTGGATTTTAGGGTTATCTTTGGCGCCCCCTAGAACCTAAACCGTGGGGTGCAGCGTCATGATTTGAATAACTTTTAATGGCCACGGGGTGTAGATTGTCCTGAGCAAATGTGGTGCCGGTGGAACGAAAGCCTTAGGAGGAGTTAGCCACATTCCAATGTGTGCGGATCGGCAAAAAATGCGGAATAACCCTTTAACCGTACATTTGCCAGATACGCGCGCATTGACTTTTTCGTAGATCTTATTGAGTTACATGTGTGTGTCAATTTTTGTGTCATTTTGACAAAGCGTATAGGCGTGACACTCAATGTTTTTTTTCACCTTAGGGGACAAGAAAAAATGGACTTTTTTCTCCTGCCATGGGGGGGCGCTCTTTTGGGGAGTAAAAATTCCTTCACAAATGTGTTGATGGCTGGACATTGCATCATCCTAGAAAACTTGGAGGCCAGTGAGGACAAAAATAAAAAGTTATAAGACTTTTAAATATGTGGATTTTAGTGTTATCTTTGGCGCCCCCTAGAACCTAAACCTTGGGGTGCAGCGTCATGATTTTGATAACTTTTAATGGCCACGGGGTGTAGATTGGCCTGAGCAAATGTGGTGCCGGTGGAACGAAAGCCTTCGGAGGAGTTAGCGGAATTCCAATGTGTGCGGATCGGCAAAAAATGCGAAATAACCCTTTAACCGTACATTTGACAGATACGCCCGCACTGACTTTTTTGTAGATCTTATTGAGATACATATGTGTGTCAATTTTTGTGTCAATATGACAAAGCGTAGAGGCGTGACAGTCAATAGTGTGAATTTCCACCTTAGGGGGCGCTATGGAGCCATTTTGCATTTTATTGTTTGGGCGACTTCAGAATATCAAATTTTTCACCAGGCCCGGTCGTCCTGCCAAATTTCCTGAGTTTTCGCCAGTGGGAAGTGGGCCATTTTCCAGTTCAAAGGGGAGGAAAAAGAAGAACTAGGGCCCCGTTGGGGCACTGGCGGGCCCGAGCCGTGTCACGCCGCCCCCAGCGCGACCGCCTCCCCCACCCGATCGCGTCACACTCAAGGTCCAAAGATGGTGTGCGCACTTGTTTGTGGTCATTTACCATTATAATGAACGGGAGGCGCAGTTTCTACCAAAACGCTCGCTGCAGAAAAACTCCATGTCCTATTTGAAAAAAGTCTGGACCATGAGTGAGGGCACAAACACAGCTAAGATATATCCAAATGGCAAGTTGCTCCTCCTTTCGCTTTTGCCGAGAGAGCAGTGCGTTTGAGCCATTGAATGATGAACAGGAAAAACTTGACTTTATTCTCCTGCCATGGGGGGCGCTCTTTTAAAGAGAAAAACTCCTTCACAAATGTGTTGCTGGCTGGACATTGCATCATCCTAGAAAACATGGAGGCCAGTGAGGACAAAAATAAAAAGTTATAAGACTTTTAAATATGTGGATTTTAGGGTTATATTTGGCGCCCCCTAGAACCTAAACCGTGGGGTGCAGCGTCATGATTTGAATAACTTTTAATGGCCATGGGGTGTAGATTGGCCTGAGCAAATGTGGTGCCGGTGGAACGAAAGCCTTCGGAGGAATTAGCGAAATTCCAATGTGTGCGAATCTGCAAAAAATGCGAAATAACCCTTTAACCGTACATTTTACAGATACGTGGCCATTGACTTTTTCGAAGATCTTATGTAAATACACGTGTATGTAAAATTTTGTGTCAATACGACAAAACATACAGGCGTAGCACTCAACAATGTGTATTTTCACCTTAGTGGACAAGAAAAAATTGACTTTTTTCTCCTGCCATGGGGGGGCGCTCTTTTGCCGAGTAAAAATTCCTTCACAAATGTGTTGATGGCTGGACATTGCATCATCCTAGAAAACTTGGAGGCCAGTGGGGACAAAAATAAAAAGTTATAAGACTTTTAAATATGTGGATTTTAGGGTTATATTTGGCGCCCCCTAGAACCTAAACCGTGGGGTGCAGCGTCATGATTTGAATAACTTTTAATGGCCATGGGGTGTAGATTGGCCTGAGCAAATGTGGTGCCGGTGGAACGAAAGCCTTTGGAGGAATTAGCGAAATTCCAATGTGTGCGAATCTGCAAAAAATGCGAAATAACCCTTTAACCGTACATTTTACAGATACGTGGCCATTGACTTTTTCGAAGATCTTATGTAAATACACGTGTATGTAAAATTTTGTGTCAATACGACAAAACATACAGGCGTAGCACTCAACAATGTGTATTTTCACCTTAGTGGACAAGAAAAAATGGACTTTTTTCTCCTGCCATGGGGGGCGCTCTTTTGCCGAGTAAAAATTCCTTCACAAATGTGTTGATGGCTGGACATTGCATCATCCTAGAAAACTTGGAGGCCAGTGGGGACAAAAATAAAAAGTTATAAGACTTTTAAATATGTGGATTTTATGGTTATCTTTGGCTCCCCCTAGAACCTAAACCGTGGGGTGCAGCGTCATGATTTGAATAACTTTTAATGGCCATGGGGTGTAGATTGGCCTGAGCAAATGTGGTGCCGGTGGAACGAAAGCCTTCGGAGGAGTTAGCGAAATTCCAATGTGTGCGGATCGGCAAAAAATGCGGAATAACCCTTTAACCGTACATTTGACAGATACGCGCGCATTGACTTTTTCGTAGATCTTATTGAGATACATGTGTGTATCAATTTTTGTGTCATTTTGCCAAAGCGTACAGGTGTTACACTCAACAATGTGTATTTTCACCTTAGGGGACAAGAAAAAATTGACTTTTTTCTCCTGCCATGGGGGGCGCTCTTTTGGGGAGTAAAAATTCCTTCACAAATGTGTTGATGGCTGGACATTGCATCATCCTAGAAAACTTGGAGGCCAGTGAGGGCAAAAATAAAAAGTTATAAGACTTTTAAATATGTGGATCTTAGGGTTATCTTTGGCGCCCCCTAGAACCTAAACCGTGGGGTGCAGCGTCATGATTTGAATAACTTTTAATGGCCATGGGGTGTAGATTGGCCTGAGCAAATGTGGTGCCGGTGGAACGAAAGCCTTCGGAGGAGTTAGCGAAATTCCAATGTGTGCGGATCGGCAAAAAATGCGAAATAACCCTTTAACCGTACATTTGACAGATACGCCCGCACTGACTTTTTTGTAGATCTTATTGAGATACATGTGTGTGTCAATTTTTGTGTCATTTTGACAAAGCGTACCGGCGTGACAGTGAATAGTGTGAATTTTCACCTTAGGGGGCGCTATGGAGCCATTTTGCATTTTCTTGTTTGGGCGACTTCGGAATATCAAATTTTTCACCAGGCCCGGTCGTCCTGCCAAATTTCATGAGTTTTCGCCAGTGGGAAGTGGGCCATTTTCCAGTTCAAAGGGGAGGAAAAATAATAATAATAATAATAACAAAAGAAGGAAACTACAGGAACAAGAGGGCTCTCGCAGCTGCTTAGCAGCTACGCTCGGGCCCTAAAGAAAGAAACAAAGAAAAACCCCTTGGGGAATAATAGGGCTCTCGCAGCTGCTTAGCAGCTACGCTCGGGCCCTAAAAAGAAACAAAGAAAAACCACTTGGGGAATAATAGGGCTCTCGCAGCTGCTTAGCAGCTACGCTCGGGCCCTAAAGAAGAAAGAAGAATCCATCAGGAATAATAGGGCTCTCGCAGCTGCTTAGCAGCTACGCTCGGGCCCTAACTAGGACCCCGTTGGGGCACTGGCGGGCCCGAGCTGTGTCGCGCCGTCCCCAACACGACCGCCTCTCCCTCCCGATCGCGTCACACTCAAGGTCCAAAGATGGTGTGCACACTTGTCTGTGGTCATTTACCATTATAATGAATGGGAGGCGCAGTTTCTACCAAAACGCTCGCTGCAGACAAACTACATGTCCTATTTGAAAAAAGTCTGGACCATGAGTGAGGGCACAAACACAGCTAGGATATATCCAAATGGCAAGTTTCTCCTCCTTTCGGTTTTGCCGAGAGAGCGATGTGTTTGAGCCGTTGAGCGATGGGCAGGAAAAACTTGACTTTTTCTCCTGCCATGGGGGGGCACTCTTTTAGGGAGTAAAAATTCCTTCACAAATGTGTTGATGGCTGGACATTGCATCATCCTAGAAAACTTGGAGGCCAGTGAGGACAAAAATAAAAAGTTATAAGACTTTTAAATATGTGGATTTTAGGGTTATCTTTGGCGCCCCCTAGAACCTAAACCGTGGGGTGCAGCGTCATGATTTGAATAACTTTTAATGGCCATGGGGTGTAGATTGGCCTGAGCAAATGTGGTGCCGGTGGAACAAAAGCCTTCGGAGGAGTTAGCGAAATTCCAATGTGTACGGATCGCCAAAAAATGCGAAATAGCCCTTTAACCGTACATTTGACAGATACGCCCGCATTGACTTTTTCGTAGATTTTATTGAGATACACCTGTGTGCCAAATTTTGTGTCATTTTGACAAAGTGTAGAGGCGTGACACTGAACAATGTGTATTTTCACCTTAGGGGACAAGAAAAAATGGACTTTTTTCTCCTGCCATGGGGGGGGCGCTCTTTTGGGGAGTAAAAATTCCTTCACAAATGTGTTGATGGCTGGACATTGCATCATCCTAGAAAACTTGGAGGCCAGTGAGGACAAAAATAAAAAGTTATAAGACTTTTAAATATGTGGATTTTCGGGTTATCTTTGGCGCCCCCTAGAACCTAAACCGTGGGGTGCAGCGTCTTGATTTGAATAACTTTTAATGGCCATGGGGTGTAGATTGGCCTGAGCAAATGTGGTGCCGGTGGAACAAAAGCCTTCGGAGGAGTTAGCGAAATTCCAATGTGTACGGATCGCCAAAAAATGCGAAATAGCCCTTTAACCGTACATTTGACAGAGACGCCCGCATTGACTTTTTCGTAGATCTTATTGAGACACACCTGTGTGCCAAATTTTGTGTCATTTTGACAAAGTGTAGAGGCGTGACACTCAACAATGTGTATTTTCACCTTAGGGGACAAGAAAAAATGGACTTTTTTCTCCTGCCATGGGGGGGCGCTCTTTTGGGGAGTAAAAATTCCTTCACAAATGTGTTGATGGCTGGACATTGCATCATCCTAGAAAACTTGGAGGCCAGTGAGGACAAAAATAAAAAGTTATAAGACTTTTAAATATGTGGATTTTAGTGTTATCTTTGGCGCCCCCTAGAACCTAAACCTTGGGGTGCAGCGTCATGATTTTGATAACTTTTAATGGCCATGGGGTGTAGATTGGCCTGAGCAAATGTGGTGCCGGTGGAACGAAAGCCTTCGGAGGAGTTAGCGAAATTCCAATGTGTACGGATCGCCAAAAAATGCGAAATAGCCCTTTAACCGTACATTTGACAGATACGCCCGCACTGACTTTTTTGTAGATCTTATTGAGATACATATGTGTGTCAAATTTTGTGTCATTTTGACAAAGCGTACAGGCGTGACAGTCAATAGTGTGAATTTCCACCTTAGGGGGCGCTATGGAGCCATTTTGCATTTTATTGTTTGGGCGACTTCAGAATATCAAATTTTTCACCAGGCCCGGTCGTCCTGCCAAATTTCATGAGTTTTCGCCAGTGGGAAGTGGGCCATTTTCCAGTTCAAAGGGGAGGAAAAATAACTAGGACCCCGTTGGGGCACTGGCGGGCCCGAGCTGTGTCGCGTCCCCCCCCCCAACGCGCTGCCTCCCCGTCCTATTTGCGTCCTCTGGCCATCGCCCTCTCTGGTAACGCCCATCACTGCAAAGACCCTTTTCCTTCATCGGCGTTTGCTGTTCTTCCTGCCAGTGCATGTTGCTTTCACTTACACTTGCCACAGCCAGCCTCGTGAGTGCTTAGCCTATTGGATATCACTGTCACCTACACAGGACATTCATTACCTTTCTATTAATACTTTGTTTTTTAATTTCACATTAATTTCCATATTGTATAAACAACTGGAAAAAACTTGAGCCCCTGCCCCTGTATAATCATGTGCACGTCTCTGTTCTAGCTCTAAGGTGAATCTTCACTGCTCATGTTCTCCTCAGAAGCAGTCACCTCACTCCCCTCAGGTTACTGTACACATGCACCAACTGCCTGCTTCAGGTTTGGATGGAGCTTCATGGTTGTCTTTTGGAGAAATGACCAGTCAAGTTGTGTTTGAAATTTGATTTTTTTCAGGGGCAAAAGGAGCCTCTGCATTCTTGTCAAATATGTAAATAGCATGTTTTTGCAGGTGCTAAAAACCAGACTCTGAGTGTGTGTGTGTGCGTGTGCGTGTGCGTGTGTGTGTGTGTGTGTGTGTGTGTGTGTGTGTGTGCGTTCAAGTCACATGACATATTTAACCGGATGTAGCTGCAAGACGGAGCCTCGTTGACTCTCCGTTTCAACTTATCTCAAAAGTGAGGACCTCAACCTATATACCAGTTTTTAAATTGTGTTGATAGGCCAAATAAAACCAGAGTTATGATAAATTATGTCCGCGATACTTGTTTTCTGCTTATTTTGATCACGTTCGGCGCTCGATCGCGCTGTATGAGACAGGAAAACATAGCATGCAGACATTAGCGACAGGTCTTACAGGCGGAAAAGGCTTGCCAAAGGAAAAAAAAAACACACCACAACATCTCTCCTATTGGTGGAAAACTTCACCACAACAACCAATCCAAAATTATATGGTGACTGATTGACAAGGGGCGGGCGCTTACGTTCTTCCTGCAATATGAGAAGGGAGGGAGGGACTCTCAGCAGGGATGCAGTCTGGGACACGTAGTTGCAAACCTAGCGACTTTGTTGTTAGATTCAATGACTTTTCAGACCCCCTAACGACGTTTTTTTAGAAAGAAAGTGACTTTTATCGACTTCTTCTGGAGTTTAGAGACTCTGACATGAAGCAGGCTTTCCTTACTGAGGAGTTAGCAACGCTGCTAAGGGTGCAGAGCCACACATGCGCTCCGAGCTCTGCATGGGAGACTGAAGCTGACAGAGCTGCAGCAGTTAGCAGGTTTCACCCTCAGAGACCACCAGGGGTTCATGTTGAGGCATTTTCAGTTTTTTTTTTTTTTTTTGCCATAGACACTGTCAGCACAATCTGCAGTTACACTAACAAAAATGCTGCAAAAAACAAAGAATTATGGAAAAATTACACATGGACTGACATAGAGGAGGATCTACACAAGTTTTTTACATCATGTTTTACATCATGCATCATTTACATCATGTTTTTTTGTAGTGGCATAAATAAAAAGTGACATTTGTGAGACTATACAGTGTTTTGTAAATAATTTTACAAAGAACACCTGGGCCATTGCCTGCATTTTGATGTAAATAGAGGTAAATTACTATGTTCTTTGTTAAAAATTTGCATATGTTTTGAAGTTTACAATTTTTATTTGAAGTTTAAGTTTTAAAAACAGTTCATCACACATATTTGTGGTTTTCACAGTAAAAACGTTACTTTTTTCCACTCGGATTTTATGTTTTGTGTGTGAATTTGGGTCCAATGTGTAAATATAGTATGTCAAAATGATAAAATAACTGTAAATTGACACAGGTGAGGTTGTGCTGAAAAAAATGATACCAGGCAAGGCAAGGTAAAAATTTTGTAAGAGGAAATATAAAGGTAAAATCTAAAGTAGTCAAAAACGGCCAATAGTGACTCACAGACTCCACAGACAAGTCCCTTTGGCGCCACTCAGTGGGCAAAACTACTTTGTCTACTGTAATGTATATTTGGGTCATCTTTGGCGCCCCCTAAAACGTAAACCGTGGGGTGCCGCGTCATGATTTTTACAACTTTGAATGGCCATGGAGTGTAGATTGGCCTGAGCAAATTTGGTGTCAGTGGGACGAAAGCCTTAGGAGGAGTTAGCGAAATTCCAATATGTGCGAATCGGCAAAAAATGCAAAATAGCCCTTTTACCGTACATTATACAGATACGCGCTCTTGACTTTTTCGTAGATCTAATTGAGATACACATGATTGTCAATTGTTGTGTCATTTTGCCAAAGCGTACAGGCGTGACAGTCAACAATGTGTATTTTCACCTTAGGGGACAAGAAAAAATTGACTTTTTTCTCCTGCCATGGGGGGGCGCTCTTTTGGGGAGTAAAAATTCCTTCACAAATGTGTTGATGGCTGGACATTGCATCATCCTAGAAAACTTGGAGGCCAGAGAGGACAAAAATAAAAAGTTATAAGACTTTTAAAAATTTGGATTTTTGGGTTATCTTTGGCGCCCCCTAGAACGTAAACCGTGGGGTGCAGCGTCATGATTTGAATAACTTTTAATGGCCATGGGGTGTAATTTGGCCTGAGCAAATGTGGTGCCGGTGGAACGAAAGCCTTCGGAGGAGTTAGCGAAATTCCAATGTGTGCGGATCGGCAAAAAATGCGCAATAACCCTTTAACCGTACATTTGACAGATACGCCCGCACTGACTTTTTTGTAGATCTTATTGAGATACATGTGTGTGTCAATTTTTGTGTAATTTTGACAAAGCGTACAGGCGTGACAGTCAATAGTGTGAATTTTCACCTTATGGAACAAGAAAAAATGGACTTTTTTCTCCTGCCATGGGGGGGCGCTCTTTTGGGGAGTAAAAATTCCTTCACAAATGTGTTGATGGCTGGACATTGCATCATCCTAGAAAACTTGGAGGCCAGTGAGGACAAAAATAAAAAGTTATAAGACTTTGAAATATGTGGATTTTAGTGTTATCTTTGGCGCCCCCTAGAACCTAAACCGTGGGGTGCAGCGTCATGATTTGAATAACTTTTAATGGCCATGGGGTGTAGATTGGCCTGAGCAAATGTGGTGCCGGTGGAACGAAAGCCTTCGGAGGAGTTAGCGAAATTCCAATGTGTGCGGATCGGCAAAAAATGCGCAATAACCCTTTAACCGTACATTTGACAGATACGCCCGCACTGACTTTTTTGTAGATCTTATTGAGATACATGTGTGTGTCAATTTTTGTGTCATTTTGACAAAGCGTACAGGCGTCAGGTGAATTTTTCACCTTAGGGGGCGCTATGGAGCCATTTTGCATTTTCTTGTTTGGGCGACTTCGGAATATCAAATTTTTCACCAGGCCCGGTCGTCCTGCCAAATTTCATGAGTTTTCGCCAGTGGGAAGTGGGCCATTTTCCAGTTCAAAGGGGAGGAAAAAGAAAAAAGAAACAAAGAAAAACCCCTTGGGGAATAATAGGGCTCTCGCAGCTGCTTAGCAGCTACGCTCGGGCCCTAATAATAACTAGGGCCCCGTTGGGGCACTGGCGGGCCCGAGCCGCGTCGTGCCGCCCCCAGCGCGACCGCCTCCCCGTCCCATTCGTGCCCTCTGGCCATCGCCCTCTCTGGTGACGCCCATCACTGCAAAGACCCTTTTCCTTCATCGGTGTTTGCTGTTCTTCCTGCCATTGCGTGTTGCTTTCACTTACACTTGCAACAGCCAGCCTCGTGAGTGCCTGGCCTGGTTTGACCTTTGCTCACCATGATTGTGTGACCTTGGTATCAGCTACTTGGGAAGTTCAACCGTTGTGGCAAAGCTTTGTTTGCGTGCTGTGCTCAACCACCTATTTTCTATGGATGTGTAAGTAAACCACTTTCTTTCTTACACAATGACACACTCATACTTATCACTCACTGCTACTGATGTGCTCTGTTAGTATGCATGCAGGAAACCTGATGAATGAAGAAATGCCCAGACTAGCCAACATCTCAATAAATTATGAGGTATGACATCACTTGAATGGTTTCCTTGGACTATGCTTCCATTATTCTAATTCTGTAATAAAAAGAAATTTTGTCCAAAAGGACTGTTGTTGTTTTTTCTTCTAATAATTAACATATTTAACATAATTAACATTCAATATGCGCTCATTACACACGTGCACACTCTTTGATGATCTGAGAAGCAGAGCTTAAAGGACAGTAGGAGTAGCTGAACAAAGTGTATTTGTAGGAAAGCCGTAAGAGCTATTGAAACGCCGTTTTCGCGGGTTGAAAGGTTAGGGTGTCCACCAAAGGTCAGAGGTCAAATAACATTTGTATCTCAAACTGTGACGTCAAAGTCAAGGTCCAAAGATGGTGTGCGCACCTGTCTTTGGTCATTTCCCATTATAATGAATGGGAGGCACAGTTTCTACCAAAACGCTCGCTGCAGACAAACTACATGTCCTATTTGAAAAAACTCTGGACCATGAGTGAGGGCACAAACACAGCTAGGACATATCCAAATGGCAAGTTGCTCCTCCTTTTGGTTTTAGCGGGAGAGCAATGCGTTTGAGCCATTAAGCGATGGGCTGGAAAAACTTGACTTTTTCTCCTGCCATGGGGGGGGGGGCGCTCTTTTGGGGAGAAAAAATTCCTTCACAGATGTGTTGATGGCTGCACATTGCATCATCCTAGAAAACTTGGAGGCCAGTGAGGACAAAAATAAAAAGTTATAAGACTTTTAAAAATGTGGATATTTGGGTCATCTTTGGCGCCCCCTAG